TTCCCGTCGAGCTTTGATCCTTAAAGAAATGTGGGTGTTTCTCAATCTCTTGAGCCACGTTAGTAATCAACCATGGAAAAGAAGAGTCTCAATATTTGGTAACCCATCCAGAAATGGATGCTATATGATACTGTATGCTATTATTTATATATGATGTTGCCATGTTTGATTACATTGTGATTTTGCCATGTAGCTCGACCATGACTCGTACCCTCAGCCCACTTGCATCTCATGTCGCAACGCGGCAGGACAGAGGTCGCCAAAGACGAAGAAGGGGCTCCAACTCATGATGTGTGAGCGCACCGTTGAACAGGACGGACTTGACAATGGTTAGGAATCTGGATGCTGAAACCGTGCATCCAAGGAATGTAGGTGGTTTGCAAGTCACTTCTATTTGGGGGTACTTTCTGACTTTCTATATGCTTGTCAACTTGGTTATTGAATAGTGGTTGCCCATTTGTGCAAACCCAGAGAGACATGTGGAGCCTGAATTCCAGCCATTGAAGTTCGCAGTAACTTACCTTAGGTAGCTGCATGTGGGAAGCCCTGACAGACAGGTCACTGGAAGCCATGTTGCTGGGGCCTGCTCGATAAGGACTTCAAGTCCGAAGCATGTGTGATAAAAGTAGGGGCCCAATGCTAGGAGTTGTTGGGAAATCTATTCCAAAGAAACAAGTTGAACCAGTACAGGCCTTGAGTACTTGACTATCTCAAGAGGAGGCCAGAGCTACTCTGATGTTTGAGATGTGTGGCTGAACCACCGGCCAGTGCCCCTCTTGTATTCAATCGTGGCAGGGAAAATCATTGATGCCACCGTGTTTAACTTGTGGGTTTCCCATTGCCATTCAACATCATTTGATGGTAAAAGCATTGGTTTACTGTGCATCCTACAAGCGTGTTTTTGGCGGCCTGAGGGCTGGACACAATGGAATACCCATTATAATCCATTATATATCCTATATACTTACTGACCGTTTATATCCATTTCCATTCAGGGACCATCCCACACCAGAGATCTGATCTTTTCCACCTTCTCAAGCTAGTTGGGGGTATTTTCTGGGTACAGCTGTGGTAACAACCTGCATAAGCTGGGATATAACCCCGTATATCCACTTATAACTTGCCTTCAGCGCAAGCATGGTCTAAGTACAAGTTACCCCAATGGTAGATTTTCCGGCCAACCATGTTTCAGTACCACAGCGTCTCTAAAGAAAATGATAGTCTGTTCAGCCAGTAGGTTGAAAGGAACCGGGATCAAATGCTCGATCTTGTCGCATGATTAGGGAAACTCGTTATACAACTCAATATTACTATTACACTCGAAGATCTGTTTCCATCCTCCTGTCGGATGTTTCTGACCTTTTGAAGTGTGTTTTTTCTATCTTGAGATAGGTCAAAATTGAAAACTCCACCGCTGCATCACCCAGTGCGCCCTGTCAGTGCTGCCCTCATTGCTACCAGTTCTGGTGCCAAAGTGCTCCAGGTTGGCAGTTTCTTACGGGGCAAAAAAGGTCGATTTGTTTGTGATGTGGAAGGCGAGTTTGGACGGTTTCCCCCCTTGAAATAGTTTGATAACATTGATATACCTAGAGCTGAAATATGTGATATTGGTTCATTCAAAGAATCAAAGCAAAGTCGGAAATGCATACTTTCAACTTTCAACGATTAGAATTGCCGGAAGGGATAAACAGTGGCTTTACTACAACGCAGCAGACCGCATTCGCGGGGCCTGATCGCAGTCATTTCTTGGCGTCCGACCAAGTGTCTCGGCAGCTAGAGGATGCAGAGGCACATCACAGGGAGCTTTGTCACAGTTTTCTCATGCTGGCTGACATTGGAAACATTTGGAACACAAGATATGTTTTCCAGGCTGGTTCGCACAGGTTGATCTAATCCTTTTTGGGTTCCCAACCTTTTGGGAATCCTTCCTGGCCTTGCCCTGTGGAAAACCACCTGGGATGAAGTTTGGCTCGAAGCATTTTGGACAATTCATTTTTGTTTGATCGTTGTATGTTGCCAGCATGCTACAAGTAAATGTTGCGTTGGCCAGCGGTCGAAGTGTGAACCTGTCGGTTCCGGAGTCCTGCAAAGTACAGGACTTGAAGGTTCTGGCACAGCAGTCTTTTGGACAGGGCTTTGTGAAACTGATCACGGCAGAAGGCCGTCGCCTGAATGATCTGACAAAAACTTTGGACGAGAGTGGAATTCAAGACGGAAATCACCTTATGGCCATTGCACAAGAAGCAAAGCTTGCAGCAACAGATCAAGCTTTTGCGTTATGGTGCTGTGGTGGAGACAGGATAGTCACATGGGGTGCTGCAGACTGTGGGGGTGACAGCTCCAGGGTCCAAGATAAGCTCAAGAATGTGCAGCAGCTTCAGGCCACGAGAAGGGCTTTTGCTGCAATCGTAGGAAATGGATCTGTTGTGACGTGGGGCGATGTCCGTTCTAGTGGTGACAGCTTCGAAGTGCAAAATAAGCTCAGAAAAGTGCAGCAGGTTGAGGCCACAGGTGGCGCATTTGCCGCAATCCTGGCCAATGGACGTGTAGTGACATGGGGCCGTGCAGATTCTGGCGGTGACAACTTTCAAGTGCAACATCAGCTCAGCAATGTGCAGCAGATTCAAGCAACAAATAAGGCTTTCGCTGCAATCCTGGAAGGTGGATTTGTTGTTACTTGGGGCTGTGGAGATTCTGGCGGTGACAGCTCGGAAGTCCAAGGTCGGCTCGGGAGTGTGCAGCAGCTTCAGGCCACAGGTGGTGCATTTGCTGCAATCTTGGCAGATAAATCTGTTGTTGCATGGGGTGATGCCTATTGCAGTGGCGACAGCTCTGAAGTCCAGGAGCAGCTCAGGAATGTGGAAGAAATACAGGCCACATCTTGGGCATTTGCCGCACGCCGGGCAGATGGATCCGTGGTTACGTGGGGCCGTCCATACTGTGGTGGTGACAGCTCCAGGGTCCAAGATTCTCTTCACAATGTGCAACAGCTTCAGGCCACAAGTGCGGCTTTTGCCGCGATCCTGGAAGATAGGTCCATTGTTACATGGGGTCGGCCGGATTTTGGTGGCGACTGCTCTCAGGTGCAAGACCAGCTCAGGAATGTCCGGTACCTCCACGCTGCAAACAAAGCTTTTGCTGCAGTCTTGGAGAATGGATCCCTTGTTACCTGGGGCGATGCCCGTTCTGGTGGTGACAGCTCCCCGGTGGAACATCAGCTTCGCAACGTGCAGCAGGTGCACCCTGAGGGCGAGCTTTTTGTTGCCGTCCTAGCAGATGGATCCGTCGTCACCTGGGGGCGTCCAGATTTGGGCCGTGACAGCGCGCAGTTGCAGCATGAGATCAATCACCTGTAGGACACTACCTGTTGGTTTCAAGTTTCAAACATGTTTTATGTTCAACCCTCCATATCAACCTATCAGGAAATTTGGCTATCCTTTTTTTCGGGAGGTGTATGCTGGACGCTGATTTTCTCGAAGCTCGGAAGTTGTTGGAAAAACTCAGCTCTGCGGCAGTGTGGAGTGTCTAGGCTCGGAACTGCTTTTGACAATTTTTTTGTTTACCTTCGGAATCCATGAGTGAATTTGCCAGTCAAGATTTTAGGGGGCCTACCTGACGGCTCACGATAGGTTAAGTGGTAGAGTTTCAAAAAGCACAGATGCAGGGTCGATGCAGTATTTGTATCTCAAGGTATGCTAACATTCCAGCATTACAATAGAACATCTCCCGTTTTTGTAGCATGTGTTGAACTGGAGGGGATAGCTCAGCAGAGTGGATTCCGTTCGCTGAGATGGGTTTCAATGAGTTTGTCTGATATGGGGTAGCCAAAAAAATCAGATGGCTATCAGATATTTCAATATTTCCCATTATATAAATTCATTAAAATTAATAATAATGATAATATATAGATATAATTAAATATATAAGTTCAATTTTTAGATAGCTTAAGATATTTATAGGTATCCCAGCCCCTCGACGTGTTGGCGTTTTGCTTTGCAGGGACAACGCGTTGAGGGTATCATTTTTGGGGGGCAACGCGCGAACCATCTTCCACTGCCCATGAGTGCCGTGGCATTTCTGGCTGGGGCCAGCATTAGCGTTGAACGAAGTGCTGCAGTACCCAACATCAAATCATGTGAGCTTTGACCGTCAAGTGATGTCAAGTGTTTCTCATGTTTTCTGCATGCTTTCAGTGGCCCTGAATGGCTTTTGCTTTCATTTCATTTTGCTCCAAGAAAATGACCACTGCCAAACATGGGATGAATCCAAAAAATGGCGAACAGTTTTGACATGGGTGGCTCAACCGAATGAACCCAGCAACCACTGACCAAATCCATCACCGACTGTGTTTCCACAGTGATTCTACATGCGAATCCGCCCTGATGCTCCACTGCACGTAGGCGGCTCCTGCTGGGTCTGTTGTTTGTGCTGACACAGGGAGCACTGCTTGGCCACATCCTAGACTGTAGAAGACTGGCTGATGTTCAAAATATACCCACATCTCCAAAAAAAACAGAACCGCAGTGGATTAGCCACTGGATAATGGGAGTGCTTCCTGGATGAACATCCATGAAATGATCATGGCATATCTCAGTATTAAGGTGTGTTTAATAAAGGGATTGTGATGAGATTGCTGTTGCTGAATTATGGTAAATACATAGGAGAACCTGTTGTAACAATTGACCTCGCGCCCACAACCATTTTCACTTTTCACTTGGTAAATTTACCAGAGACCCTTGTCTTGCATTTGATTGTAAACCCGGCGGTCCATGGTATCATTACCCTTGGCTTTCCCAAGCCCATCCAGCTACGCCAAATGGATCCAAATGGGACCAATTGGGTCTGTCTGAAAATTTACCGAAACCCAGTGGTTTACCTTTTTTTCTCCTTTGAAAAAAAGCCATATTTTTTCTCATTTTTGGAGGTCATCCATTTGGGACAGGCCCCACTTTCCATGGTTTTCCTCGTGTCCTCGACGCTGTGATGTCTTGTGATCCAGGATGGCGCGGAAACCTCTGCCAGATCACTATGGCGTCCTCGAGATCCGAGAGGCGACGAAAATGCCAGTGACATTGGGAAGACAACGCCCAAAAATGGCGCTAGAGTTGGGTGGAAAGAAAGCGGAAGGTTAGGGATTTCAGCGCCCCAAATTTTTGGCATTCAACAAGGCGAATGAAGGTTTGAGCATCCAACGTGATCCAACATGGCAATTTCATCATCAATGTTCAAACGTGCCGGTAGCAAAAACAGACACGTTTGAAGCAACAAACACGTAGTGAAGCCAGATGATGCCTGTATCGTATCAAAAATTGTGTGAAAAGGTTACGTATTATATATCCATCACTGATGCTGCTGGAACCATTCAATCAGATTCAAAAGGAGGAGTGCAGAGATGCCACTGGCTGTGGCGCTTGTTCACCACGCTATAAACATATATATATATTAATTTGATTATGTTTAACACACACACATATATATATATATTTAATCTTAAGACATAAAATGTATGTATAAAGCATCCAACTTGTTTCTTCTTATATCTAAAATGATCTAAGTCGATAGTAGGTTTCTTCTCGAGCTTTGATGCACCAGGATGCGGATGAATTGACCATCAAAAAGGCCTACCGTGCCTTGGCAAAAAGACGGCACATCGACGAAAGGCATGGCCAAAGAAGACCATGGGACCCTGTTCCAACCAGAAAAAGCTATGGTGTCCCTCTGATTCCAACCCGAAATGTTGTATGGGGGTTCTTCACTTCACCACCACAAGGGGAAACAACTTTCCTCTTTCTGGCTGTTTAGCGGTCCTGGAAGGAATGTGATTGGGAAGGTTTTGTTTCTCAGCAAATTTAGGGGGGGTCCTGCAAATATTCCCTCAAACCAATCCGATGTTTTTCAAATCATACCTGACGTACCTTTAGATGGATGAACATCCATCTGCTTTGACAGCTATTTGAAGAATTTATGGTCCTCACCAGGGGCCTCCTTGTGAGTGCAGTTTGTTGGGTAACAAAGGTCATTTTGTTACTTGCTGTCGAGCTTCGACAGATCACGTTCTTGCGAAGGTCTAGGCAAGATGCATGAAGAGCATGTTGAATGACGGGTTGATGGATGTTTACTGAAGCACGATTGGAAGGGAAGCCAGTGGCAGATAGTGGCGGAACTGGATAAATCCGCAGCTTCATAGGCAAACTTGCCACCCTTGGCCATCCGAGTGTGGAAGTGGTAACAGCAAATTTAAGATTTGTGGTGTTGTCAAAGTTTTCAGGAGCTGTATGCGCCATGGACATACCA